TTGTGAACTCACAAATATCATAGGAATCCATCTTGTCCATATAACACTATTTTCTGATCTATGATGTTGTTTCCTCATCACAAATATACCTGGAGTAATGCTTTGTATTATTCACACATAATTAACTCACAAATCCTACATGTTTAGGCTGAGTTATTCTCTCAAATGGAAAACACTCAAAAGATAGCTGTTATCTTGAAAACAACCACTACATGACATCACAAGGTGGAACAGAGCTTAGAGAGCTTGGAGCTTTGGAGATGCAGACAGACTATTAAACCAGGATTACTCAAACATGTTTGAGTGAAACAAAACAGGTAACAACAGTTTACCATGGCTAAAAGGCTCACAAGAGTCCATTTTGTGTAATATAGGACCTGTAGTTACATAGTGCAAAGTAGAGCCCGACCGATATGGATTTTGTTGTGGCCGATATGAAACCGATATAATGGGAGTTGGAGCTGCCGATAGCCGATATAATCACCGATATATTTCGTGATGTAAAAGTTCACTGTAAATCTTGAATTGATTAAAAAACTTAGGTTTGGCTCTAGTGGATTCTAAATTGGGTTTATTTAGGCAACATTTATTGTTATTTTGACTCTTTACATCATATTTACATACAGTAGATTGGCCTAATGGCATTTTTGCATCACATTCTAGCTACTAGAGATGGGTATTCCAGTTTTTGTTTTTTTGTTTTTTGAGAATCGGCTCTTTTGGCTCGGCTCTCTAAAACAGCTGGCTCTTTCGGCTCCCAAGCGACTCTTGAGATTGTTTTGTTGCAAGCAGGACTAAACCAGAACTGAACCAGGACTGAGTGTCGGGACTCGGTTTCTATCTCTCTCCTGCACTCGAGCCCAAGATTAATCCTGGTTTATTCATTTTATGCTGAACTGCAGCCAAATATGCACTTTTTTTTATCCTATGCACACGCAGATTTCTGAAAGTTTCGTTTTCAGCTGCTGCTGCTGTCAAACTACGGGTCTACATGCGGCATGAAGAGAAAAAGTGAGAAAAAGAGAAAACACGGCTCCCAATAAGAAACATGCTCCCGTTGTTCGCTTCAAAGAGCCGCTTCGATCGCGACCGACCCATAACTCCTAGCTAGTAAATAAACTACCGCTATTAGCCTATAGCCATAAATGCTGCGCACCGCGGTAATTAATTATATGCATAAATATGGATCATTCACACGTCTGTTTACAGCTCATTTACATATCAATGCTGGTCCAGTAACAAATATACGGACAATATAGTCACTTTACAATAGACCAATAGAAAACAGCCTGTTTATGTGCGGGAGCTACAGCAGCTAACCGCTAACAAAACCTAAACTAGCTTCAAAGTCGATGTATTTCCAACACTCACCGCTCATACAGGCTCCTCCTCACATCACAAGTCTGCACTTATAAATGTCCTTTTAATCCAGACTCAAACCGATTGTCCGTAAAAAGAAAATAATCTCAATGTTGCGCACGGCTGCGGGTGTAAACAAACACACGCGAGTGAAGTGACGTCACTCTGGTGGTGTGTTCAGGGACAGTACGGACACAGACAAATTACACCGCAGATAAATACTGATGCGGAGGCACATATTAGGATTTATCTGTCTGTAAATTGGATTAAATGAACAAAATATAGAGAGTCTAAGCTTTATAACGAGGTATAACATGCCCACGTGAAATATCGGCCCATATCAGCAAGCATATCGGCCGATAGCCGATATGTCTCCAGGTGCACATATTGGCCGATAATATCGGCCAGCCGATATATCGGTCGGGCTCTAGTGCAAAGCATTGTGGATAACAGACCAAATGTTTTCAAAGTGTCTCCTTTGCAGTAAATAACACTTTTGTTCACACAGAATGATGAAAAAGCTTTTGTATCTGAAAAGTGGCTGAAATACAACAATTTGAGTGAAGGCCAGGTGACAAGTGATAAAACATGCAATTGACAAAAAAAAAGTTTCAGTTTGAAAACATTCTTTGCAAAATTGCCTCAGAAATATCTCTCTGAAAGGACTTTTTCAAAAAGGTGTTTGGATTTCTAAAGAATTTCAGAAGAATGTGAAAAATCTCGTGAGTCTAACTTCACAGCAGGAAAATGGGTCACGGAAATTACTGCCAAGTGGGACTGTTGCGAGACAGAATTTGCTGCATCATCTTTGCAAAGTTATATTTAAATGCAGTGTGTTGGAGCTATGGAGGGTAGGGCTTTAATATTATGAAAAGGTAGGAGGGGTAAAAGGAAGCTTGAATCAAACTTAAAGGCCTCTTTTGTGATTGCTTTCCATGTATTTGAGCAAAATTAGGCTTACCTCTGTCTGGCATTAAATGTATCCATCTAGCATTCGTTTCATCACTAAAAAAAAATAATAATAAAATAAATAAATACCATGGAGAAACATGCATTCTTACTTTAGGCATCATTGCCTTACCACAGATCTGACCTGTAACACTGAATGTGACCACCCGCTTGTCTCTTTACATGCGAAGCAAAAATATTTCCACAGTACAGATAAATTGTAGCAACTGCTGAGATCAAAATAAGTATAAAATGCGTGCTGTCTACATCTAATCAGGAAGTGTGCGTTAGAATTCTAGTTGTTAGCCTTACTAACATGGCAAAACTCCAATCTGGTCTCTGAAAGTTGTGAAAACCACATATAAACTCATTGTGGTGAATAATTAGGATACTCTGAATGCATAAGGTAAGTGAGGAATAACCTTGGACTAGAGCTCTGCACACGACAGAATTTTCAGTCCCGCTCACGCCCACACCCGCACTGTGCAGTCCCGCTCCCACTCGCACTGACAAAGAATTGTAATTTTCATTCCCGTTCCCGCCCGCATCTGTGATATTTTGTCCTGCTCCCGCCCGCAAGTCCCGCAAGATGAAGACATTCACTTTCTTAAGCTTTATCAAACACAGAGAAGTGGAAAGGAACTGTCTAAAATGTGTGCAAGATTAGACCACATACACAAGTTTAGGCTTCTTAAAACATTCATCATTTGTATATTTTACTTGACACTAATATTTAGGACTACAGTTTATCATCCCACCCACCCGTTCCCACATTGTGCAGTCCCACTCCTGCCTGCGCACGCAATGAGCTTTCAAAATGTGTCCCGCGCTGTACTGGTTTGCGTTTCGAGTGCAGAGTTCTACTTTGGACCACTGCAAACCGTTTATAATCAACTATTCTCCTTTTCTATGTTTTAAATCAGATACAGCGCCTAAGGTGAAATTCACACATCACCACTGGGCTGATGTGGGCTGCTGACTCAGAGACAGCAGCTGGATCTGTTCCAATGAAGGCACACACTTAGAATACACACACACACACACGCACACACGCTGACAAAACCTCATACAGTGACTCATATGTGCTTCATCAAGGAATATAATGAAGAGATATTTTGACAAATTGACTCAGCTCTGCAATTTACAGAATTTTAATCAGTTCCAGATAAAATAGTTTCAACAGTGATCGACTTGGGATTATTAATGGTGAGGTTTACAGCCGGTCCTTTGTCAATTTAAAACATGTGGGTTGGACTTATGGAATAACTACACTATTTTGGAACGCTACTTCTAGGGCTGGGCGATATGGATCAAAAAATATATCTCGATATATTTTGTTATATCTCGATATACGATATATATCTCGATATATGTACAAGAAAAAATAACCCCCTAAAATTGAAAACTGCAAAAACAAATATGCCAAATTCCACAAGGTCTTTTTTTTATTTTATTGAAGTGTAAGAGGTAGGCAGTTCATATGGGAACATTTAAGATTACAAAAAACCCCAATTACATAAATAATAATTTAACTGTAAAATAAAAGAAATAATACATATTTCCTTCTTTTCAATCATAAATAAAACAACTCAACACAAGCTCATCTTTGCATTAACTCTGTTATCCAGACCAGAACCAGAACCACGAGCTCCTTTAGCAGAAGAAGCTCAAGATGTTCCTTATTTTAATAGATCCATGTTATTATCCAGCAGTAAGGAGCTCTGAGGTTTCCCACAATCCACTGCAGATCAAACCCAACGATTCCAAACACTGTTGTACAAGTGACACTGCAGCAGATTATTTATTAAAATCTTTTGCATAAATAAACTTTACATTACTAAACTTTACAATATATATAGCATAACGACTCGAGAGCCACATCAGCCCGTTTGCGCACGTGTTTACATTTTACAGAAACGAAACTTAATTTGCACTTCTGGCTAATTTGCATAAACAGCGCACTCCACGTGCCGCTCATGCGTTTTAGCTTCTTTCGGGCTAAAGGACGAGACTCGGTGGAATGTGAGGATGTGCTGCTGATGGCCTTGAAGCTTTTCACTGGCACCAACTTTCGGTATTCACGGCGGTAGTGAGGAGTGAAGGAGACAAGAGCGCGCAAAATCAGGGAGGCGGGGGCGCGCGGAGGCGACGAGAGAGAAGACAAACAAGCGAAGCGGCCAAATCAAAATTGAATATAAGCATTATATCGATATAAACGATATGTCAGAATTCATATCGAGTTTAAAAAATATCTCGATATGTTTAAAATATCGATATATCGCCCACCCCTAGCTACTTCGGAATATTTTCCATGGACAAGTTTTAGGCCATATGGTAGAAGATTATAGCCAAAAGAACAAGCAGGCCACTGGTCAAATAGGAGTCAGGATTGTGGAGATGCAAGCCAGTTCACAGTAAGAACACAAGGTTTTCAGTGCAAAAAAAGCTTTTATTTTGGTATATTTTTTGGTTAAAAGCTTACATACTGGGGCTTTAAATTGCACAAAGCCCAAAAACTCAAACCCCCAGTGCTGCCTGCGGTGGGGAACAGATGCTACTGGCAGTATTTAGTTGAAATTACCATCAGCAGATTTCACATTAAACTTTAAACGTTCGCATCATACTTTTATAGTTTCTATTTTAGCATTATATGGGCTTTGATAACATGTGCTTATTTCTGTGTCTGTCCTCAGATATGGACGCCAACTACGGAGGGGGGCTGTTGGACATGGTCAAAGGAGGAGCAGGGAAGTTCTTCAGTAACTTCAAGGACAACCTGAAGGACACTCTGAAGGACACGTCCACCAAGGTCATGCACCAGGTCGCCACGTAAGTCACACTTTGTTTTAAATTGTATTGGTCCATTATTTTCTGTGATGTCCCTGCATGCTCCACATATGTATCTCTGTGGTGGAATGTTCCCATATTACCGGTTACCATGGTGACACAATTCAAGAATTAGCAGACATTGGCCACGTTTACATGATGTTTTTTAATTACGAATGAATTGTTCTGAATGAAATAGTTCAAGATTAAAATATTCTCCTTCAAGTTTACATGGACATAATAATTCTGAATTGAGGTTTACATGGAAAGAACGTTAAGTTGGAAGGGTTCTGATTGGACAGAGACACAAGCGTATTTATGTCTAAGGGACAAAAACACACACTTCAGCTGCTACCGGCTTTCTTGTCATCTCTGTTTGTTGTTACGCCACAGACACAAATATGATCCAAACTTTTTTTGCAGTCGTTCCGATGATCATTAAGCAGCAGCTCGAGACTTTTATCTTCATGCTTGACGTCTGTCAGCTGAGAAGGAGAAGGTAAAAGTGTCAGAGAAGGGAGGAAGAAGACAAACTGAGTCAGCAGCTGCTCTACCTCAGCCCACTCCTACATCCCGCTCACAAATCCAAAGAGCAGTGGCTGAAAGTCCGAAGCGAGGACTGGTGGAGCCGGACTGTCTGGATCACATCAGAATGGCGACCCAACAAGCATGTGTTGAAAGACTGGAATTATTTTTAAGAAGATTAAACGTTTACATGATCGAGGAACAAATGAATTCATCCTTAAAGTCAGAATAAACCACCCACTTACATCGGAATTAAGTTTAAATCTAAATAATCATTTTCATTAGGAATTAAGTGTTTGCATGGTCTTTTTAAAGAGGAACAAATTTTTATTCAGACTTAAATTATTTTTATTCGGAATTAAAGCTCTTATGTAAATGTGGCAAATGTCAAAAAAGTTTTAAAATGGTGTGAAAACTCAAGGAAAAAACACAAAATGGATTTAAATAATATTTTCAGAAGCCTGTGATTAACATGTTAATATTAATAAAAGCATGGTCCTGTTTAGGTGTTTTATTTAAAAAAATAATTAACTGAAAAACTGTTAGTTAATTAACTTTGGTTGTTTAACTAGCTTTCACTGTAATTTTATGCGTGAGAGACTTGTTTAACAGCATGAATCATCTCACCTGTAGTTGTAGTTCCAACCAAATCAACTTTTTCTGGTCAGATTGTGTTAAAATAAAGCTCAGATTAAAGTCTATTAAAGCCTCAGACAGAGCAGAGCCTACAGTTAGTATCACACCTCCAGGGAACGTTAATGTCATCAGCTGCAAAGTATCAGTTGTGAATATGTATTACAATGACAGCATTTTGTGCAATCATAAGAAAAAGTCATCTATTGGAGAACGAGATTGAGTCCCCTGCAGCAGAGTTATGATTCAGTGCGAGTATATGTCTGTGTGTGTGTGTGTGTGTTTGTGTGTGTGTGTGTTTGTGTGTTTGTGTATGTGCGAGCCGTGCCAGGGGGAGGTCTCAGACTGGCACAGCTTGGCCGTGTCCGTGTCATGGTGCACACTTCTCTGCACTGAGCCGCACAATGCCCCCTCTGTGCCCTCCTCTCTCCTGTCTGACACACATATGCCATCGCTCACTTCATGTTACAAGCAGCTTTAAAGCACAAGGCAGTGTTACTTAATGGAAAAAGCAAAGCAACAAACAAAATATCCAAAGTCCAATGCCTACTTGCCTCTTTGGATATGTTACTGCTTTGCCTTGATTATTTCACAACGTGGAAATAAACTTGAGTTAGCACAATGGAGATAGCATGCTCAAAAGATTTCATGTTTTTGAAGGTATTTTGGAACTATATCCTCCATTAATTTGTGTCCTTTACCAGTCTATCTTGTGTTGTGGTTTGAGATAATGGGGGAATAGGTTCCTCTGCCTAAACAGGGCTGGGGAATTATAGGGTACTATCATGTCCAGGAAAAAAAAGAAAAAATAGTTAATATGTGCACTATGATAAAAAAAAATCAAATAAATAAATAAATAAGATATTAAAAGGGAGTCAAAAACTTTCTGAGGTGACTGTAGGAGCTGGTCCGAGATGTTGACAGTCAAAAAAGTAATTTTTGCTATTTTGTTAACTTCACATGGTTTTAACGCCAAAATGTTCCTGGTGTCCATTACAGACGACATGTTACGTAAGTCTCAAATCTTTCACCTCCAGTCTGAGTCAAGTCTCAAGTCGAAATCGAGTCTCGAGTCACTGGCCCATAAGTCCAACTCAAGTCTAAGTTGTCTGCTTTGAGCTTCAAGTGATTTCAAGTCTTTAAACAATTTATATGAACTTTAAACAAAATTATACTTGGTCTTGGGATATTTTTATATGCCTATTTATATATGAGTTGTAGAAATGAATTTTTTTCCTTTTTAAAAGTCTTGTCAAGATCTTAGTGTGAATCATTACTGAATTATTAATTCAGATTTATAAGTGCTTAATAAGTTATTTTGCCATGTAGTCTGCACTGAAATTCATATTGTGTGTAGTTCCCTCTGTTTTACTCTTTTGTTCTGTACGGTACTTTATATTACTGTAGTACATTAAACGACACCATATCACAGTACTTCAGTTATATCCAAAGTAAAAAAAACAGAACTGAGAGGGACATGTTCCAGTTTGATGTGTAAAATTAAGCACTGCATGTATCAACTATTTTCTAAAAACATATCTTTTTGTAGTAGAAGCATCAAATCTTCTCAAGTCACAGGGCTCAAGTCCAGTTGGAGTCATTGAGCTTAAAGTCCAAGTCAAGTCCCAAGTCTTAGTCCATTTTATCAAGTCAAGTCTCAAGTCCTAAAAATAGTGACTCAACACTGACTTGAGTCCGAGTCATGACTTGCAAGTCCCCACCTCTGTCATTTACCTTCAAGAAATCACAAAAAATATATATATTCCAATACACTTTTTTCTTCAGGTCCCAGGAGGATATGGAACACCTATAATTGATTAAATGCAAACCAGATATGTTTAACATCCTACTATATCACCATGGAGACAAGCAATAGCAAAGAAGTTACATAGTGTATTTCTAAGGCCTACAAAGTGCCCACATGTATTTTGTGCCCTAATTACTCTGATGATCAAGATTGTGTGGTTTAATATAATATAATCTTTGCCTCATTAGTGAAAAACACATTAATTCATTCAGTATTAATTTGTATTTAAAAAATGTGTTTTGTTAAATTGTAATTGAGTTTTCTTCAAATTTATTTTTCACAGTTCACCATAGAGATCCCTAATTAAAGTAACAGCCAAACCAAATTTCTCAGTCTGTTATAATCTGTTACAATATTATTTTTTTAAGAAATTGCTGAAGCCTTGTTATTATCTTGATTAATTGAGGTATTAACTTGCAAAAACATGTCAAAAGTTGAATTTTTTGCATGTTTATTTCAGTAATATATTGTTTCTTCAAATACAAATGCATCCATAACCTCGATGTAAAAAGTTTTGTATCTAATATGTCAACAAAATGAACTCAGACACCTTTAAATCCCTCACAGCAGAACTCACTTCCTCTGACTCAGCTCCACTTTGTCTCACGACTCCCCCCGTCCCCAAACAAACGCCCAGTCACACCACTTTTAGATTAGTTTTCACCATTTTGCTCCTCCCTGTCTCCTCCTCCTCCTCCCTCTCCATCTCTCTCCCAGTGTCCTGTCTCCTCCTGCGTCTCCTACCCCCTCTATCTGTGTGTCTCTCTTCCAGTGTTTTCTCCCTTTCTCTCTCCTCCACTGTCTTCTCTTCTCTCCCCATCCCTCTCTCTTCTCTTGTGTATCCTGTCCCTCTTTTTCTCCTCTCTCTGTCTCCTCTTGTCCCTTTTCTCTCTCTCTAACTCTCTGTCTGTCTCCTCTTGTCCCTTTTCTCTCTCTCTCTCTGTCTCCTCTTGTCCCTTCTCTCTCTCTCTCTAACTCTCTCTCTCTCTCTCTAACTCTCTCTCTGTCTCCTCGTGTATTCTCTCTCTCTCTCTCTCCTCTTCTGTATTCTCTCTCTCTCTCTGTCTCCTCTTGTGTATTCGCTCTCTCTCTCTTTCTCTCCTCCCGCCTCTCCTCTCTTGTCTTCTCTCTTTTCTCTCCCCATGCCTCCTCCCTCTCTCTCCTCCTTTGTCTTCTCTCTCTCTCTCTCTCTCCTCTTGTGTATTATCCCTCTCTCTCCTCTCTCTCTCTCCTCTTGTGTATTATCCCTCTCTCTCTCTCCTCTTGTGTATTCTCTCTCTCTCTGTTTGTCTCCTCTTGCATTCTCTCTCTCTGTCTCCTCTTGTGTATTCTCTCTCTCTCTGTTTGTCTCTCCTCTTCTGTATTCTCTCTCTCTCTCTGTCTCCTCTTGTGTATTCGCTCTCTCTCTCTTTCTCTCCTCCCACCTCTCCTCTCTTGTCTTCTCTCTTTCTCTCTCCCCCTGCCTCCTCCCTCTCTCTCCTCCTTTGTCTTCTCTCTCTCTCTCTCTCTCTCTCCTCTTGTGTATTATCCCTCTCTCTCCTCTCCTCTTGTGTATTCTCTCTCTCTCTGTTTGTCTCCTCTTGTGTATTCTCTCTCTCTCTCCTCTCCTCTTGTGTATTCTCTCTCTCTCTCTCTGTCTCCTCTTGTGTATTCGCTCTCTCTCTCTTTCTCTCCTCCCGCCTCTCCGTCTCGTCTTCTCTCTTCTCTCTCCCCATGCCTCCCCCTCTCTCTCCTCCTCCCCCTCTCTCTTTCTCTGTTTGTCTCCTCTTGCATTCTCTGTCTGTCTTTCTCTCTCTTTCTCATCTCCCGCCTCTCCTCTTCTCTCTTTCTCTCTCTCTCCATGCCTCCCCTCTCTCTCCTCCCTTGTCTTCTCTCTCTTTCTCTCTCCCCTCATGTGTATTATCCCTCTCTCCTCTCTCTCTCCTCTTGTGTATTCTCTCTTCTTTTCTCTCTCTCTCTTTCTCCCCTCCTCCCTCACCTCCCTTCTCTTCTCTCTCTTTCTCTCTTTCTCCATATGCCCCCTCTCTCTCCTCCCTTT